TTTTTTTTTAAAAAAAAGTATTTTTCAAATTCTATTTTTAAAAAGCATTTTGCCGAAAAAAGCACTTTTCAAATTCATTTTTAAAAAGTACTTTATCAAAAAAGTACTTTTGAAAACCCGTTTTTTGAAATGATACAACAGTTACGATTGGCAATAAGAGTAACGACAAGCTCCTTTTTCACACTTTAATCACAGTTTCAGTATTACGGAATGTCGCTATAACTTCTAGTCAGAAAAGTACTTCGCCATTAAATATTCTAATTATTTCACTAAGGTTTATTGCATGAGGTGATTTTTGTACCGCTCCAAAAAAGACAGGTATTAAAAAGTACTTCTCTTGGCAAAGTGCTTTTTAAGAAAAAATTTTAGAAGTGCTTTTTTGATAAAGTATTTTTTGAAAAAAGCTGAATTATGAAAAATCCAAAGTATCAATTTATCGTTAAACGAATGCTTCAAGGATTGGATGTTTCATTTGCAAAAAAAATTTTTAAGTCAAAAAAAAAGCATACTTTATCAAGTGTGCTCAAAATCCAGCCAACAGTACCATCTCCTCCACAAACAAGCAGTCGCAGACTCGCCGCTACTTTTTTGAACATATTGAGTCTAAAATTTAAATTTGTACAACAAAATTTGCTGCGTTGTGCTGCGTTTTGCTATTTATTCTATTTGAGTTTCGAGATTTTCTGGAAATTTCAGATTCAAAATGAGACTTATTTCTAGCAAAACATTTTCTTTTTCCAACATTCAGGGACTTTCGGAAAAAATTTGCATTAAAATGAAAAAATAGAATCAAGCTAGACTAATGCGAAATGACTAAGACCAGTAAACTTGTTATGATTAAATGATAAAATATTATAAACTGATGTGGAAAAATTATCAGTGAACTGACAAAATTTTGAACAAAATGATGATTAATGATTTATGGCTCACCCGAACTGAGGTCCCTTCAGGGCATTGATATCAAATACTTGTCGTGGATTAAGCAACCAGCAAAGTGTATTTAACATTTTGGAACCTTTATTGCCACCTGATTTTGGATTAACAAATACGAGGAGCGGCTGACTTGGCCAGATTCGACCATCGTCTGGTGCTGGCTGGGGTCTTACCGTAAATACCCGACGCTGAAAAGCAAAAATCTGGAAAAACAGAGTACAGGAAAAAGGCCAAACTTATCATGCTGGGCATTTTACAAAACTGTCCACATCCCTTATATCAAGCTTGCAGCTTATAAAGTAAAAAAATATTCGAGACAAGAATGATCTGGAACTCGTCAATGCACTCAATACAAATTTGAAGTAATTTCTGCAACACAGTAACTGATAACAAGCATCTCGGGCCAAGCTAAATATTTTTAAAGAAAACTTGAAGCGGAAAATCTTAGCCAAAATTTACTGCTTGTCGTGAAAAGCCGGAAAAAAGCCAACCAAAAAGCCGCACCAAAGAAAAAAATTAAATTTGTCTATGGGAGGCAGAGGATAAAAGAAAGGCATATCTTGCCATGAATGGTTCAAAAAAGTGAAAGGCAGATACGCAGTAGACGCGCTGCGGTGCCCCTGAACCGGAGCACAGGGACCGGTAGTGTAGTGGTAATACGATGCATCCAGATGCAAAGACGAGTGGTTCAATTCCCTTCTGGTTTAGAACAGTTTTCGAGAAAGGGCTCCTTTTACGACACTGCTATCATTTATCCGGTACATGTTTTGAATCAAAATACGAGTCTTTTCTTGTGCAGCATAAATCAGGTTGTGCTGATGTTCTCTGCTATCTTCACCTCTCCTCCCTCCCTCACTCAAAGAAATGTTTTGAACAAAGCTTACTCTTTTTCGTTTTCCAGCACTTTTCTTACTCCGTGTTTTGCTAGGATTCGTGAGCTGAATCCATGTTGGCGGTACAATCATCTCTTTTAGATCACCACGATCGCATGATTCCTCAAAGCAGTGCGACGAAAAGCATCCTACTTTGTTATGATATGATCGTTTGCACCAGGAACAGCTCACAGCTATCACCTCCTGAAAGTACTCGTGTCATAGTCTGCAGTCCAGTCCCGTTAAATTCTGATAGTCCTGCTACATTTCGCTCGAATATTTTTCAAAATGAATGAAACACACATATTTTTCAAACTCA